GATCCACGGCCAGTATCTTTGTGTCGACACTCATATTGGGTGCGGTCAGAGACCAACAGCACCGGCCATCGGCCAGTCGACTATCGCACACATTAACCAACTTTTGCCAATTGTTGGTCGGGGTTATTGTATCGGTGGCGACAGTACTGATACTAACGGTGCTAATCATGCATAGAATTTGGTGCCTTCAAGTGAGGCTCAACGCTATATTCTGGAACCGCTCCAAACCATTCGCACCAGTTTTCGCCGTTTGACACTAAATTACAAACTTTGTAACACTATTTAAGTGTGTTTAACATTTAGCCATTTTAATGTTCACACAAATATCTATACCAAAAATATATTATTCTCACCATTCCACATTATTCTGGCCGTGACCTTGTACAGTAGTAAGAATATTTGACATAGTTTATTTAATGTATAAACAGGGTTATGTTAACCTTGGCAAATAATAATCGTGCATGTTGTTTATGAAGGCATTGCATACATGATAAATTTTTATGTTTACATATGGTTGTTATGGTAACGATAAAAGCATCTAATTTTGAACTTGTTGTCTTTGCACCATGCACAAACTGTCTAATTTATTACTCACAGTTAACTGCAATTAAATGTATAATTAATAATTATTTATGCACAAACCATAGAAAGCATAGAATATTTTGTAAAACATTTCAAATCTACAATTAAATGTTGTGTAAAAGTTTTAATGAAGCCAACAGTTGGACGTCATTTAATTAACAGATCATTAATTAAATCGTAAATAAAATGTCAAAATTCACTATCAATTGTTTGATAGGATCGCAGCAAATGTTAAACAGAGTCAGCACTTGTATAATCACACTTCGGATATAAATTAAATGCAAACAAACAATTTTTTTAGTTTAAGTTTTAAAACATAACTTAAAATTTTTACTCAAAATTCTTTGAGCACTAGATTTGCTTCAATTTGAAGGAAAACTACTTTTTGACGAAAAATCCATAAATCAGTACAACTTTTACGGGTAATTAATTATATAATTCATTAAATCATAAAATTTTATTAACAAATTCATTAAAATTCTTATATAAAATCAATTTTAACTCAATTCCCAATCAATTCCTATCCGTAAACCAAAAGAGACAAAAATGTTTGAAAAAGCGATCGAAGATTTCCGCAAAAATGGTTTTGCAGTCATTCCGGACTTCATCGACAGTGGGTTCGTCGAAGAACTCAAGAAACGGATCCACGAATTGGTCGACAATATTGACGTTACGAAGGAGAAGATGGCCACCGATGAGACAGTGAACCCGTCGGTCGACATCGAGTCTGCGGACAAAATCCGTTTCTTCTTTGAGAAGGAGGCGTTCGATGAAAAGGGAAACCTAAAGGTCGACAAACATAAGGCTCTCTTCCGTATCGGCTTTGCGTTGCATTGTTTGGACCCGACGTTCAAGAGGTTGACCTTCAGCGACAAAGTGAAGGCATTGGTCAAAGAGCTGGGCTTTGAATCACCCCGAGTGGCACAGAGTATGTATATATTCAAGAACCCCGAGATCGGGGGTGTGTTCATTCCCCACCAAGATGCCACATACCTGCACGCCGTGGGCGACGACCTCCGGGAGGCCGGCATTTGGTTCGCTCTCGAAGACGCCACTGTATGTATCAGTTCCTTAATATCTGTATTCATGCCATTCCCAACCAACTGTGTTATTGCAGTCGGAGTTTGGGATTACTGTATATTCTGTGCAATTATCTAATTTATGACATAATAATCGCATGAATTTGATTGCAATGTATGATAATATAGGAAGAAAACGGTTGTCTGTCATTCATTCCGGGCTCTCATAAAACAGGACTTCATCGCCAATATGTGAGGAATGAGAAGGAAAACGATCCGCCATTTGTGTTCACGAAAGACAATCCCGACTATAAGGACGAGGACTTTGTGTTGGCGCCGGCGAAGAAGGGTTCAGCCGTACTCATCGACGGACTGGTGGTTCACCGATCGGCACAGAATCGCTCGGCGAAGGGTCGGCCAATAAAGACAATCCCGACTATAAGGACGAGGACTTTGTGTTGGCGCCGGCGAAGAAGGGTTCAGCCGTACTCATCGACGGACTGGTGGTTCACCGATCGGCACAGAATCGCTCGGCGAAGGGTCGGCCAATCTATACGTTCCACTTATACGACGACAAGACCTGCAAATGGGATCCCAAGAACTGGTTACAGCCCACGGCTATCAATCCCTTCCCCAACCTCTTTGCTAACTAAGTCTAGATTATTAAGTATTAATTAAATCTAGATATAGATTGTCTATCACTTTATTTGCGTTTGCATTCAGCTCTCATTTTGGGACAAAACTAATGTTTTATTGAATTTTGATAATAAAGTTTGAAATTTAACATTGTGTGATATCCCGACTGTGTATTGTATTGTAGGGTTGGTTCTGGCAGACAGTCTGGAGCCTTATTTATTGAGAGAGTGTATGTGAGAGGAAGACCTAGAGTTTATATGTGAGAGGGATGAGAAAGTCAATGGGAGAGATCATTGAGAGGGAGCCCAGACAGTAGATTTGACTGACGCCAGTTTGCAATATTTTTCATTTATTTATTAGATGTTAATACGGTATGAATTGTATCAGTATTTATGCAATGCTGGCCAATACTACTCACAACATAGTTATCTTAATTGACGTTTTAAATCTTGTATACAATCAAGAGTTAATTTATTATTAATTTATATTAACTTGTATAATTATAATGCAAAATGTACCATACACTTTACATAAATTGTATAATGCAATCAATTGATTGCGCTCTTTATAGCGTTAATTCTTAAAAATACAATCATTTTATTGATAGTGATATAAATGGTGTGAAAGTGTTTGGCTTTAAAGTAAAGTCGAGATTATTTAAATGATTTAATATTGAATAACATAAACAGTGTTCATAATATATAAAACTGGTTTTACAGCACTATTACAACATTAAGTAGTTTACATTTCAAAGCCATTCATGAATTATTTGTTTAAAAACTTATGTTCTGTTTTCATTAAAATACGACAATTATTATAAATTATCATTAATAATAATAAACATAAGAATATTCCGTAAAAATGGATAGAAAGTACATGATCATAATATTTACCGTTTTATCATGTTGTGTAACCACTCTATTGCTTATCAAATCATATGCGGACGCTATGCTTGAGACAAACACTCGGATCAATTGGCTCCGGACATTATCTCAATGCGTGGACATAACACTAATAGTGATGTTTATCATCGGTGTGTTCACTATATTTATGGTTTACTATTCTTACGTGACACAAATCGAGGACCTAAACAGACAGTGCTATACACACGTGTTTGTCACCATCGCTAGGTGCCGGTCATAGAAACACAGCTGTGAGTATAACCCACGCCAGTCTCTGGTTGTCGTGGCCGGTAGCCGGTCAGCTGATAGCGTGTGTAATTGGTTGAAAACGGTTAACAACCAGCCCCAATACGTATCGGTGTCGGTAGTACTGATGCTAACGGTGCTAATCATGCATAGAATTTGGTGCCTTCAGGTGCGGCTCAACGCTATATTCTGGAACCGCTCCAAACCATTTGCACCAGTTTTCGCCGTTTGAAACTAAATTACAAACTTTGTAACATTATTTAAGTGTGTTTAACATTTAGCCATTTTAATGTTCACACAAATACCTATACCAAAAATATATTATTCTCACCATTCCACATTATTCTGGCCGTGACCTTGTACAGTAGTAAGAATATTTGACATAGTTTATTTAATGTATAAACAGGGTTATGTTAACCATGGCAAATAATACATGTAATCGTGCATGTTGTTTATGAAGGCATTGCATACATGATAAATTTTTATGCTTACATATGGTTGTTATGGTAACGATAAAAGCATCTAATTTTGAACTTGTTGTCTTTGCACCATGCACAAACTGTCTAATTTATTACTCACAGTTAACTGCAATTAAATGTATAATTAATAATTATTAATAGTTTTAACCATAAATAATTATTCTATAAGCGATTATAACAGGTCTGTCCTAATGATCAATAAATGCTCATAACTTGTCATTAAATGTATGGTTAAACTCGCGATTTGTTTTCACAGGTTTTTTACCCAAAAATTAAACATTTGACTGCATTTAATTTAAAACAGTATAAAAATCGATGAATTCATCGGTTATTGTCAACGATCTGTTGGACGAGTTGTCCGAAGAACGAAACCGATTGGCCGAAGACAAGGACCGACTGTCCCGTCGGTTGGCGTTCAGCGAGAAATACATTGAATTAATGCTAAACTATAGGAAATGTTTGATTACTTTTGACAAACACTGTGTTTGCGATGAAAACTCGTTAAACAAGTTTATGTTAACTCTTCTCGAGAAGGAGTTCCACACGTTTGAAGACAATGAAGACAACTATCGATACGAACCGATGCCAAGCAAACAGTCAATTGGTGTACAAACCGGTGATAAGGAGAGTCGCGGACAAGAGTTTTCATTTATGAGCGAACGCTTCAATTACGAGCATATGTTGACCACCGATGACAGTGTCGGCGATAATACGGCCGATAATATCGACAATTATGTTAACGATTCAAATNACAATGAAGACAACTATCGATACGAACCGATGCCAAGCAAACAGTCAATTGGTGTACAAACCGGTGATAAGGAGAGTCGCGGACAAGAGTTTTCATTTATGAGCGAACGCTTCAATTACGAGCATATGTTGACCACCGATGACAGTGTCGGCGATAATACGGCCGATAATATCGACAATTATGTTAACGATTCAAATGATTGTAAAGAAATGTTACCACTGATGACCAATCAAGTGAACAATGAGTATCTAATGCCGGAGATGAGGGATGATTACGAAGTATCGGTTCCAGTGGTGGTCACCAACTCTACGCCCAAACTAACGACTCAATCAAAGCGTGTGACGCGGACTAAGAATAAGACCAGAGCTAAATCAACGCAGAGGTTAGTGATTGTTGGCATCAAATAAGTACTACCCTATTAACAAGTGGTGACTTTACTATTTGATAGCGCCAACAACGGTCGTAACGCCACGGATCAGCTGAATTGTCCCAAAATAGGCTGTTATCAGAGTTTCAGTTCGCAAAACCAATTGGACAAACACATTGTCAGCGCTCACCCGAACGCCCGGCCCTATCGGTGTCCCTATTGTCCCAAAACATACAAACTATCGCATCATTTGAAAGGACACCACAACAAGACTCACGCCGACGACCAGCCAATGCGCGGCCGAATCTCAGTCGACGACGAGAGGCAACATTTTAGTCGCTGTCGTCTCGCAGACCGATCGGGATATCTGTGCGATTGGCCCGACTGTCAACAGCTTATCGTCACTTACGATGGTTTCAAGAATCATATGCGGAATCACCGGTAATATACTGTATATAAATGTCTGACAATAGTTATTATACATTGTATTTTGTGTTTAATCTACTACTTTAGCGGTGATTATCGGTACGCATGCGATGAGTGCGACAAACAATACGTGAATAACTATCGTCTGATACGACACCAAAGAGGGAGTCACAACAGATCCGTGGACTACGAGTGTCAATACCCGGACTGTCACTACAAGACATCCCTAAGATTTCAACTTAACTCACATTACATGAGACACAACAACGAGAAGGCGTTCAAGTGTCGCATCAATGGCTGTAAATCCAGTTTCAATGTTGAGTATGACTTAACTCGGCATAAAGTCCGTAAACACGGTCTCAATCGTGTCAAACGTATTGTCTCGACTGACACTAAATCCAGGTTTATGTCTCAATTGCCCATCGATTAAGTCCTTTAAATGTTTGCAATACTGTATTACATAAAAATTAATTAAAATTTGAAACACAATTATTCACATAATATTCAGCTTTTGTTTATACCGTACAATATTCACTATTCATTATATCACTGTTTGATTACATGTCAGACAAAAATCTTTACATTTATTAATAAAAACTATGTTTTTCAGCGAATTTTATACAGAATTTCATAAAATGTAAAGAATTTTAAATAAAAATATAAGCCATAAGTGTTTGTCAATCAGTTTTTATTGCATAAAACATGGAAAAGGTTTAGATAAATATTCTGTTTTTATTTCGTTAAATATTATAAAATAATAGAATTTATAAAACACTGAAATCAAAGAAAAATCATAAATAAATATTAAAAGTAAAAAATGTGTATTTAATATCAAAACTATTACAGTATAATTAGCGATTGTTATTATAAAGTTTATAAAATACACATTTATAATATAAAGTAATAATTATGTTCTACTATTTTGTTATTATGTAATTTTGTAAAAATGCATAAAAACACAAAAGTAGTAAAAGTTACAAACGTATGCCAAATCTCAAAATCCGTTTAACTAATTGTGGGAATAATTGACTTATGAACTCATTTGGACTCTAAATACATTTTGTACAAATAATGATATTTAGTCTAAACGTTAGTTTCTTTGATTCAAATAAATCAATACATTTGATCATAAAAAAGGTTTCGGCACTCGTTGTCAAAAATGGTAACAATTTTTCATCCAAAATGTTTGCAAAATCAATGAATATTTTCTGCAAAAGTGAATCATTTGTTGCATTAAATGCGAAGAAATCGGCCCAAAGTTTTGATCCCGTGTTTGTCTTATGGGCTGAAGAGTTGGTCCAAGAATTTTGCAAAGAATTCAATAAATCCTCGACTGTTATATCGGCCGAAGTGTTATATGCGGACACATTATGAGTGGTTAAGTTAAACACAATTTTAGTTGCATTCAATGTCTTGTCTTTGATGGCGACGATTGTGTTAACCGATGTATAAATATTATCCGATGTATACGTGTTTGTCGTCGTTGTGGTTATGGTTTTGGACACGTCTTCGGCTAAAATGTTGTAAGAATGAGAATGAAAAAGTCAAATATGTTGTATTTAGTTGTACAGTATGTTATGGTTTACAGAATATTCTGTAATTTTCATGATTTCAATGAATTGAATTAACAGAACTGCTAATTGTTATAAATAAAGATTTTAATGTTTTAATTATTGCAAAAATACCGGTATTATTGTTAAAGTTTTGGTCTATGATTGAGATGTTATTCACATTTTTAAACTCATTTTCCAATGATTTAAAACCAGTATTTGTTTTATCAATCGTTTCAGTGTTTTCAACCAAATTCAGTGAATTATCTGTTTTATTAATAATGTTATATAAATAGCAAATATAAGTCTGCATTACATTAAAAGTTTTGGATCCAAACATAATATTTATATTTTAATACAAACCTATTATAAAATGTTTGCCACAAATTATATGAATCTTAATTAATAACAAAATTATGAATCTATTAAACATTTTATTTATTTTGAATTTATTTTGCTTTTAAATAATTCTTAAACACAACTGATGTCTAAATCAGTGAAATACAAATATTAGAAAAATAGTCATTTCCTGATTCAGTAAAATCCTTTAATTTATAACTTAATCTTAATCGTAAATATTTTCAGTTTAATCCATAGTTTTTATACAATTTTTAACCACAATTCAGCATTGAATAATGTGGTTTATAGGATAGTTCAACCCCCTCCCCTCGTTCTATGGAATTTAACATGGGATTCCAGTTTAAGTCTATGGCTATACAGTATAGTGCATGCAATCCTCTCATAGCAACAAACAACAATCCTCAACACTTACATTGTTGGCTCAGAGCGCAGGTGCGAAACAGCGTGGATCCAATGAAGTTCAGTATTTCAAACAGAGAAAGGGTTCGCACTTGCGCTGCTTTGCAAACAATGTAAGTGTTGAGGATTGTTGTTTGTTGCTATGAGAGGATTGCATGCACTATACTGTACTTTAACTTTAACTTCATACACCTTAACTTTATGATAGCATATTTGTTTACAGTGTTGCTATGGTAACCAACATAGGCACATAAATCCGTTGAATGTTATTACAGTAAATATTGCATGTGCATCAAATAAATGACAGCTAACTCTTAATTAACCATGAATATTTATATTTGTAATAAATTGAATCACCATGATTGACGGAGAATTGAATGGTTGCTGAATAATCTCGTGCAACGGGTCTAACAGGTAATGACATGTGGTTTGATAAACATGTGGACATTAGTGCACTAATAATTAGTGATGTTATTTTACACGTAATATTCATTTCAATCTTACGTTACATGTAATATTACGTAATTTACCGTAAGATTCCGTAAAATTCAACTTTAAATCAAATAATTAATATGTCAATATTGGTATTANTGTGGACATTAGTGCACTAATAATTAGTGATGTTATTTTACACGTAATATTCATTTCAATCTTACGTTACATGTAATATTACGTAATTTACCGTAAGATTCCGTAAAATTCAACTTTAAATCAAATAATTAATATGTCAATATTGGTATTAATTAACTACAAGTTAGCTATTAATTAAAGATTAATTACATTCAATTCAATGTAAAAACATAAAATATTAATTATATCTTCAAAATTGTCGTCCGAGTCATAATTAGTAGATTTTGCCTCAATTAAAGCATCTGTTAGTGAAATAACAAGTAATAGTCATTTGTAAGTTACATGTAAGATTCAAATTTTGCTGTAATTTACGTGTAATTTACTGTAAATTACGTCGGTAAGATATGTAAGTTACATTTGTGACAACACTACTAATAATAGCTATTAAATTGATTTGACGTTAATTTTACTTCCGATTTGTTTTCATAGGTTTTGAATCAAAATAAAAGAAAATTTTAATTAAAAGTAATTGAAAATCAATTGTGAAGACAAAGTGAACGACTGATTGGATTAATTGAGTGAAACATTGGTTGCGATTACAGTTGAAAGTACTGTACAATGAATTCATCGCTTATTGTCAACGATTTGATGGACGAGTTAACAGAAGAGAGGAACCGATTGGCCGAAGACAAGGACCGACTGTCCCGTCGGTTGGCGTTCAGCGAGAAATACATTGAATTAATGCTAAACTATAGGAAATGTTTGATTACTTTTGACAAACACTGTGTTTGCGATGAGAACTCATTGAATAAGTTTGTGTTGACTCTTCTCGAGAAAGAGTTCCACACCTTTGAAGACAACTATCGATGTGAACCGATGCCAAGCAAACAGTCAATTGGTGTACAAACCGAAGATAATGAGAGTCGCGGACAAGAGTTTTCATTTATGTCGGAACAGATTAATTGCGATCATATGCTAACCGCCGACAACAGTGTCGGCCATAACAGCGATCACTTCAATAACGATTCTGTAGATAGAAAAGAGATTGTATTACCGCTGATGACCAGTCAATTGAACGACGAATGTCTGATACCAGAGACGAGGGGTGACTACGAAGTAGCGGTTCCAGTGGTGGTCACCAACTCTACACCGATACTAATAACACGACCAAAGCCTGCGAATAGGGCTAAGAATAAGCCAAAAGCTAAGTCAACGCAGAGGTTAGTGACTGTTAGGATCTAATAGATTATGTGAACGAATACTGTATATGTGTAATATTGACTCGTTGTTACTCTACTATTGTTACAGTGGCATCAATGATGGCAACGCCACGGATCAGTTTAAATGTCCTAAAATAGGCTGTTATCTGAGCTTCAGTTCGCAATTTCAATTGAATAAACACCTAATGAGCGCTCACCCGAACGCCCGGCCCTATCGGTGTCCCTATTGTCCCAAAGCCTACAAACTGTGGCATCACTTGAAACAACACCACAACAGGACTCACGCCAACGATCATCAAAGGGGCGATCGATTGTCGACCGACGACGAGAGGCAGCACTTCAGCCGATGCCGTCTCGATGACGGGTCGGGCTTTCGGTGCGATTGGCCCGACTGTCAACAGGTTATCAGTCGGTTTGAGAACTTCAGGGGACATATGCGGACTCATCGGTAATATATCAACGCTTGTCTCGTGCCATACATTATATTTTGTGTTTAATATTTATAACTTTAGCTGCGATTATCGATTCCCATGCGATGAGTGCGACAAACGATACGTCGATTATCAGCGTTTGGTACGACACCAGAGGAGCGCTCACAACAGATCCGTGGACTTCGAGTGTCATTTCGCCGATTGTCACTATAAGACGGTCCATAAGTATCGGCTAAATATGCATCTCATGAAACACAGCCAACAGAAGGCGTTTAAGTGTCGCATCAATGGCTGTAAATCCAGTTTTAATCTCAAACGCAACTTAAATCTGCATAAAGACCGTAAACACGGTCTCAATCGTGTCAAACATTACCCGTCGGAACAAAACTCAATATTTATGTCTCAATTGCTCATCAATTGAATGTTTGAAATCTTTCATTAATGCTATTTTGATTATTGTTTGTAATAATTATTAATCTGTGCTAACATTAACTCAAACAACGTGTGAATTAATCATATTTTTAATTTTGTAAAATATATTTTTATGATTAAGTTTTTAAGTATCATTTCAACCATAGCTTTAATTATATAATATAAATGAATTGACTGTGAATATATAATTTAATAATAATTAAGTATTAAATAAAATACAATTAATATTTTAATAACAATTATAATAGGATTTATTCGTAAACAGTTGTCAAATGAGATCTAAATATAAAGACAATCAAAATATTTACTGTTTAAAGAAAAAACACATGAGTTATGAATTGGAGTATCACTTAATGTCAGAATCAGTTGACAACACGTACGACAAGAAGTGATGGCAAATAGATTTTCAAGGATTACAACAAAACTGTTTAGCAATAAGTTGTTGCTAACAAACATACAAATAATAAGTTTATAAAAATACATTATATTTATAAACTCATAGAACATAACCATAGCTCAGAGCGGAGGCCACGGATGTGCTAAATAGAGGGTCAATTCATTTTGTATATTACTTTCGTTTACAGAATTTGTTTAAATATATGTATATAAATACAAATGTTTAACAATCGTGTTGTCAAATATACGGTGAATTCAAATCAATATATTTTTGAAAAAACAGTTAATTTATAAATGAGTTTCAATTTTCAATATTTATTGTGGATAATCGATGAATGGATTGATGAGCTATGGATTGAGTTGGGATGGGATTTGTAGTGTTGGGGTGGCTGTAGATGATAGTCGTGGTGGTGGTTGTGGTGGACAGGTATGGTTGTGGGCCGATAGCTGAGGCCCAGTATATTCATCTGATCGGTGGTCAGCGGGCATGATATGGACGAGTCCTGCATTCGTCGTTTGCGTTCATAAGCCCAGTATCCCAGACCCAGAAAGACCACCAATAGTGCCATCAGTACCACAATCAACACCAGAGACAAGAGGCCAGTCATCGACGATATGATAAATATTGTCAGTATTATTAATATCGCTATTAAAAGACCTGAAATGCAAATATATAACAAATACATCATGTAATCGAGTCTTAAGCCCTTGTAATTGATGTAATCGTGTTATCGATTCAGCGTTTCTATTGTCTTACATTTGAAATTAGGTTTTGGGTTAAGTTTTTTGGTTCTGTCGTACTTTTAAGCCTAATCCTCACATATTTTGTGTTTATATTACAAATTTATAAATAAATTTTATGTTTTTACACATGAATTGACATTTCTGTGAATTTCTAAACAAATTGTCTGTTATATTATCTATCGATACGATCTTTATATAGAAATGTTTAATATTTAGTTTAAATAAAATTGTTTAAATAAATAGTTAAAATATAAGTTGGGTCACAAATACTAACATTGTTACATTACTTTTACAAAAGACTAAACTAATTATATTATTTATAAAATATAAACAATTTATTTGCTATTTCATCTTACAAATATAATTTTTTGAATTATTACAAGAATAAGTATTATATTCTTATACTAATAATCATGATTTGTTAATTATGAAAAATTAAACAAGTTTTAATAACTTACCCGATAGTAATTCAAGGCCCGCATACCTGTCCTCTAATTTTTGTCGCACTGACGGCGATCTGATAAAGTGCTGAGCAATCATTGTATGCACCGATTCTTTACTTATTTATTAATTAATATTTTTCAATTTAATAACATTTAATTATACAACTGTGACAATTGTATAATACAATTATTTATAGCAGTTCTTTAAATATATATTTAAGACTCACTTTAAAGTGATCTCATTTACTGATTAATAAAATTTAATAACGAAAATTATCATTCATTAAAATTTAAAACACAATTATTCACAAAATTATTTCGCTTACAATAAGAGCACTTTTTAAAATATGATATTCACTGTAATGTCAGACAAAAATCTTTACATTTATTAATAAAACTATGTTTTTCAGCGAATTTTATGCAGAATTTCATAAAATGTAAAGAATTTGTAATAAAAATAGTAATTAAAATAAATTATCAAATTTTCAATCATTTGAACACACATTCAAACAACCAATTCATATATATTTCGCAAAACATGAATTCATTGACAGAATTGCGACCGAAAACTGTGTGACAATAGAAGTGATGTTTCCTTCGACTCGATGTGTGAAAACACT